TGCTCGTGTTTTAAAACACTAATTTGAGCAACGTTATTTCGCAATTTCGAACTTTTGTAAACCTGGGGTGATGTATCAAGGTCTAAAGTAACCGTTTTATCAATTTTTGAAAAATCAAGAAAAAAGTGAAAATTTCCCTTCTCGCTACCTTAATGTATGTAACTTGTGCCTGTGATATGCCTCCTACTGTCTCTACTAAAATCATATATTGGTACATCAATAATCTTATTGTTTATGTTTCTAAGCACAAAAAAAAAGGGTTTTAAACTCAATCTATGTCAATTTTTTATGTATATTAAAATGAGGCTCCTCATTAACTTCTCATTTGTATACATAAACATCTCTGGTGACGTATGAAGGGAAACGCCCTCTCAAGTAAGAGGACAGTGATTTGATTTGCCACAGCGACATATTCGACTACAACGTTGCGTTCCCATGATGCATCTTACTTATTATATACCCATTTTCTTGTTGTGAAAGACAAACAATTTTGTTTACTGACACAAGTAAAATACTCCATCGGTCCCTTCAGGTCTATTAATTTCAAGTAGAAATCTTTGATGATTGTTTTGTTTTGTTTTGCTTTGTTTTGTTTTGTTTTGTTTTGTTTTGTTTTGTTTTGTTTTGTTTTGTTTTGTTTTGTTTTGTTTTGTTTTGTTTTGTTTTGTTTTGTTTTCCCTGTGTACATTGTCTGTCTTTTCCGCACACGGAACTTGAATCAACTGCTACGTTCGCACGACAGCATTTTATCGGAGCCCAACGGCTCGAGCCGGCTCTAGCCAGCAAAAATGGCCGTGTATACGCGTTCGGCTCGAGCCAAGTTCGGCTCTAATAAACCCTCGGGGTTGAACTCCGATAGGGTTGAGCCCCGACATGGCCCGACCGTGTATACGCATCAGGGGCCTATTTTCGGAGCCCAAATCACGCTCTCCATCGTCTTCTTCAAGTAACCTCCCATTTCAAATATGGCGGAGTCAACATCTTTCGTAGTTTCACGCAATTTCCGGCTTGACGAAGAGATACGCGTCCTAATTTATAGTAACGAATTATTGCGATAGATTGATAGCTCAACGGGAAACAGAATATAATGGCGTGTTATTCGATTGTCAGTCGAGTTTTCGAAAAAATCACAGTACTATAGATGATATTTTTGTTTTGTATGTTATGGCAAACATGGGTGGTAAATTTTACTGTCTCTTCATGGATTTCTCTAAAGCATTCGATATGATAAACCATTCACTATTACCGGATGTTATATAAATTATTAACAACTGGTATCCATGATGGTAACATGTTTTGTATCTTGCGTTCTATGTACAGTAATGATAAGTCCCTCGTTAAATCTGAATCAAATATAGTTCCCTTGACTGTCCGGTAAGCGTGCGTATTGAGCAATATTTTATTTTGTTTCTTTATTGAAGAATTAAATTTGATGTTGGTTAACTCGGTAATTTGGGGATTCAACTAACACAGGACATTTATAATCTGTTCGCTTTACTTTATGCAGATGACGGAACCATTTTCAGTGACTCAATTCCAAACTTGCAGAATTTGATTAATATTTTATTGCAATGTTGTGGCAAGTGGTGTATGAAAGTTAGTTTACAAAAAACAAAAGTATTTTTTTTTTCGCAAGGGTGGTCAAGCATCACGAAACGAGAAGTGGTACCTTGTGGAAAGCGAGTTAAAAGTTGTTTCCTAATATAACTTGAAGTAGTATGTCTCGTGCTTTCTTCCAGGAATATTTGGTCTAAAGCAGTTTCTACTTTTGCGGACCAGGCTGGAAAAATGCTCAGGATTCTTTCATCGGTATCTGTTAAACTTATTGGGATTTATTTTGACACCCATTTCAAATTATTTGATTCAATTATATCTACTATTCTGAGTTATAGATCCGAGATT